CGCGATTGCGCCATGATCCGCGGCGATTCGGAGCACGTGGAGACGCTGATCGACCTGTGCGACACGACGAAGGCCGAGAGCGCAAAGGCGCCGGGTCTGACTGACAATCGCCCTGGTGATGACGAGGAGACCGCGAGCGAGCTCGACGAAGGGGGCGCGGCTCGCTGCCGACCTGAGTTGGGCGTCCTGCCGTGCTTGGCGGTCGTCCGCTTGAACGTGGAGAGGAGCGCTTGGCTCGTGGCGCGGAGGCTAAATGGGCCGCGGCTCTTCGGCGGGCAACGCGTGAGCAAGGTGACTTGCTACCTGGCGGGCACCTGCGAGGTCGGGCGTGTGCCTCGCGGCGGGCTAGGGCGGCCGGGCAATGTATCTTTGGAATTCTACGATGTTCCTGACGACCCGCCGAACAGAGCGATGACATGCGCTTCCAGCTTCGCGGACAGCATGCCGTGCATCTGCTTTGCCGGGCGCTGGGGTGTCCAGGGCGCGCCCGTCGTTGAGGCGGAATTCTACGGCGAGACCAGCGTGGTCATGGGGGGCCAGATGGTCTGGCATCTGTTCGATTGGCTTGGCTACGAGGTGGCGTGCGCCCTGCTCGCGGGCATGGCGGCGGCCGCGGGCGGCGCGGGGCGCCTCGATGAACGCGCGACGCGGGCATGGCCGGAATGGCGCAAGTGGCCCGCGCATCAGACAGAGTGTAGCGGCGAGGAGAACCTTATCTGCGCCGAGGCCCATCCCAGGGTTCGTTTCCTATGTCCCCTCAAGCTGTTGATCGTGGGCGGCGTGGCTGGCTGTGACTTGATTGATCTGCGCGCAAAGTGCGCGGCGATGGCGATCGTGGCAGATCCCCCGGCGGTGTTGCGTAACAGCCACGTGCTGATCCGAGTGCTGACCTCGGCAGCGGCGTTTGCGCGAATCGAGGCCATGGGGGCCGGCCCAAAGACGGAGTTGCTGCGAGTGGCGTGGCGGAGCTCGGGGATGACGCCCCCTGGAAGACAGTGACGACCCTACTCGTGATGATCCGTGAGCAGCTGCCGGTCGCGTAGGCGCAATACTGCTTTCTGTGCCGATTGGCGGCGAGCCACACCCACGCAGTGGAGGAGACGAAACCCGAGCTGGCGACCGCCCGCGTGGGCAGCATCAAGACGGACAACACCCAGAAATCTGAGAAGGAGCTGCCCGCGCGAATATTGCAGTGGAGCAATACCAGCCCTCCGCATTGCGTTTGACGTCGTGACCTGGCGCAACCGAGGTTGCATGTGGTGCCCGAGTAAATTGTTGACGCTTCGCGAATCCCCACCAGCCCATCCAGAAACGATGCCCAGAGGAATTGCCTGGATCAGGGAAGTGGGCAGCATACAGAGGAAGCCATTATGAGACATCTCGGGGTATCTTGAGCCATCTTGGAGTGCCGTCTTGGGCTCTTCCCACCAGCCCATCCAGAAACGATGCCCAGAGGAATTGCCTGGATCAGGGAAGTGGGCAGCATACAGAGGAAACCATTCTGAGACATCTCGGGGTATCTTGAGCCATCTTGGAGTGCCGTCTTGGGCTCTTCCAAACGCTCTTGGAGTCATCTGAATCAGTGCTCCCCCCCCAAGAGGCCAACATGTGGCTAAAACCTTCGTGAAATCAATGATGTGGCATTCTCGCCGAGGCCTCTTGGAGCATCTTGGGTGCCTCTGGGGGGTCTCTTGGGACCTCTTGGGGGTCTCTTGGGGGCCTCCTGGGGGCGTCTTGGGGGCCTCTTGGGGCCATTTTGGGGCCATCCTGGGACCTTTTGGGACCTCCTGGGCGCTTCTTGGGGCCATCGTGGATGAGATCGATCAAACAAGAGGGGAGCAGTAATTAGCGTCCCCCCCAGGAGGCCAACATGGGGCCAAAACCTTAGTACAACGAGTGATTTTGGCTTCCTCGCCGAGGCCGTTGTGGCATTCTCGCCGAGGCCTCTTGGAGCATCTTGGGTGCCTCTGGGGGGTCTCTTGGGGCCCCTTGGGGGTCTCTTGGGGGCCTCCTGGGGGCGTCTTGGGGGCCTCTTGGGGCCATTTTGGGGCCATCCTGGGACCTCTTGGGACCTCCTGGGCGCTTCTTGGGGCCATCGTGGATGAGATCGATCAAACAAGAGGGGATCAGTAATTAGCGCCCCCCCCGGAGGCCAACATGGGGCCAAAACCTTAGTACAACGAGTGATTTTGGCTTCCTCGCCGAGGCCGTTGTGGCATTCTCGCCGAGGCCTCTTGGAGCATCTTGGGTGCCTCTGGGGGGTCTCTTGGGGCCCCTTGGGGGTCTCTTGGGGGCCTCCTGGGGGCGTCTTGGGGGCCTCTTGGGGCCATTTTGGGGCCATCCTGGGACCTCTTGGGACCTCCTGGGCGCTTCTTGGGGCCATCGTGGATGAGATCGATCAAACAAGAGGGGAGCGCAATTGCGCCCCCCCCCCCCCCCCCCTCCCCCCTCCGCCAGGAGGCCAACATGGGGCCAAAACCGTAGTACAATCAATGATTTTGGCTTCCTCGCCGAGGCCGTTTTGGACGCCCTGACGACTCGCGACCCCCCCGCCTCCAGGTCCATGGGGAGGGGGTAGGGGGAGGGGTCAAGACCCCCTCCCCGCCCGCAAGCGTGTCGCTCACTCCCACCCGCCCTCCCAACACATACGTAGCACCCGAGTCTGGCCCGAGCCTCAGCATATTCAGCAGTTGTCTGTGGATGGGCAGCTACTGGGGGCCAATCCGCCGCCGCCGCCGCCGCCGCCGCCGCCGCTGCCCGCCGCTGCCCGCCGCCGCCGCCGCGCTGCCGCCGCCGCCGCCGCCGCCGTCGCCGTCGCGGCCGCCGCCGCCCGCCGCCCGCCGGCCGCCGCCGCCGACGCCGCCGCCGCCGCCGCAGCCCCCCGCTGCCAAACCGCCCGCCGCCGCAGCCGCTGCCGCCACCGCTACGCCGCCGCCGCCGCCGCCGCAGCCGCCGCCGTCCGCCGCCGCCGCCGCCGCCGCCGCCCCGCCGCCGCCCGCCGCCGCCGCCGCCGCTGCCGCCGCAGCCGCCGCCACCGCCGCCGCAGCCGCCGCAGCCGCCGCCGCCAAGTGTACTCTGTATTGTTTTTTGACAGGGATGGTGGGGGGGCCGCATCGGGTTGGCTGCGCATGTCCCGAATTTGCAGGCAGAGTGTGTGTTTGTATCGTATTTTACAAGGGATGGTGGGGGGGGGGTGTCGTCATGGTCCCTGGTTGGCCCCCAGTCGCCTGGGGGAGGGGGTGTTTATTAATTGGGAGTAGTGAACCCCTCCCCGAAGGGGGAAAAGGAGGGGTGGAAGAGGAAACTCTTTACACCACCGAGGCCCAGAGGGCTGGTGGGACTAAGGAGGAGACGAGTCCCAAGCTACGACTTGGGCTGATCGCGGGAAGGATTCGACCTATTATATTATCGTGATGTGTTGCGACGACTGCGACGACGCCTTCGAGGCCGTCGAAAGGCATCTAATAGCGGGCGCGCTGCCTTTCGAGGCCACGCGACGGGGCGGCGTGCGCGGGGATTTGCGTGTAGCGTGCGTTCCGCAGTCGCGTGGCGTAAGAAAGAATTCTGATCCCCTTGCCGGGCGGGTTTTGCCCCCAGATTCCTGCAAACTTTTTAGGATGCTCCTTCGGATCTCTTCTGAGGCCTCTGGGGTGCTTCTAGGTGGCATTTTTTGTGACCTCCTGGGGCCTCCCGGGGCATCATGTGGGTTCCTTTGGGGCCAGGTGGCGGGCTCGCGCGCCATCTTTCGGGGCATGTGTTCTTCTTTATGCATGTGTTTGTTCTTCTTTCTGCATGAATCACGCCGTTCCCGCAAGCGGGACGAGACGTCGTCCTAGGGCGCTCGATCGGACTTCTGCTTCTCGACATGTGAGTTTGGATTCCCCCCCGTGGGGCCTTCATGGGAGCCTCTGGAGCTCTCTTGCAAGGCCTCTCGGGCCGTCTTTGAGTCCTCGCGGGCCGTCCCGGGGGCCGTCCTGGGGGCCTCTACTGCTGACCTGAAGCGGTCTTGGCGATGTTCTGGCCCGTCCTGGGCGGTCGGGCACCCGCAGAGGCGATGTCGCTCAGATCCACGATCCTCTGTCACAAACCGCAGCATCATCACTGACGTGTGCGTCCTGGTGCCCTCTTCAGGTTTGTTGGAACCCTCTTGGGTCGTCTTGGGCGCCTCTTGGGCCGTCTTCTAGCCATCTTTTGCCGTTTTGCATCGCTCTTGGCCTGAGGCCGCGGCCTGCTCCTGTTTGGTGCCTCTTTGTAGCGCTCCTGGGGCGCAATTGGGGCCCCAGGGACGCGCCCAGGAGTCCTGGCATCCGTGGCCCAAGGACTGCTGGCGGCTGCCCGGGGTAATCATTCTTCGTCTGGGGACACCCGGGGGCCGCCACGCGCGAGTGACCTGGACATCCTTTGAGACTCTTCTGGTGGTTTTGGCACGCCTCTGGCCCTCTGGGCGGGCATATGTCAAAACTTCTGTTGCTCCCATCCTCCTGGTGGACCTCTGGCAAATCTCTCGCGATGATGACTATGATCTTGTTGGCTCTGGTGAGTCTGGCGCGAAGCCTATCGCTTGCAATGCCTGGCCTTGTCCAGTATGTCGTGTGCTTGCTGCTTGATTGACTCCGCTCATCTCGGCGGCGCGCACGGGGTGCTGGCGCGAGGGGGGCGGCCTTGTACAATGGCGGGAGGCCTCCCCGAACATATTGGAGGGGCCTTTTTGGAAGGGCCTGGAGGCACATCGGAAGCTCCCCAGAGGCCGCAGCGGCTTCTGAAAAGCCCTTCCTGCCTCCCGCCTCTTCAGAATATCGCCTCCCTCGCACCGCTCCCTTGCGCGCGCCGCCAATCATCGGGGCCGGTTCGTTGAAAGGCAGCTGGGTGTGTACTGGATTCAAAGCTGCCGCCTTGTGGTCCGCTCGATCTATGTCCCCATTCCCCTTTTTTCCCTGCTCTGCTTTTGTCCTTCATTCTTCCCCGCCGTTGTCGTCCCCCTTCTTGTCCCAGAAGCTCAGGGATGAGTTCGGCGTCGGATTCGATCAAATGGTGCCACTCCTCTTCGAGCGCGGCGTTTTCATGCTCGTGGCGATCTACGGCGTGCTGATGGCTGGCGGCGCGTATGTTCCGCTCGAGCCGCACTACCCCAGCGGGAGGATCCTCGGGATCCTGCAGCAGGTGCAGCCCAAGGCAGTGGTGACGGTGGAGAAGCTTCTCGACAAAATAACGCCAGAAGCTCTCAAAGCTGGCGCCCTGTCGTGGGCCGTGGTGCAGCTGAGCGCAGTGAATCGCAGCAGAGGCAGAACGATCATCGCGCACAAGGACCGGCACTACCCACACATATTCATACTGTGTGTGCGTTGGCCCCGCAAGTGCGGTTCGCGCGCTCGGAACTCTTATGGTATAAGCTCCGCTGCGGGCGTTTTATGGCCATGCCGCTCGGGAAACGATGCACTGTAAGAGTTGTATACCGTGTGGTCGTGTCGGGCGTGCGCCTCCATCATAACCACATAGCACTGGCACGGCTTTCCGTGTCCTGGTGTTCAAGTGGAGGAGGTGGAGGAGGAGGAGGTGGAGGAGGAGGTGGAGGAGGAGGAGGAGGAGGAGGAGGAGGAAGAGGAGGAGGACCCCTTCCCCCTCCAACTCATGGTGGTGGTGGTGGACAACAGGCCCAGCAGCACAGTCCCCCAAGCACGCTCCCGTTTCGGTGCCCTGGGCCACCTGCGCGCGCCCGCCGCCCGTGGACTCTCGGGGGCCGGGCCTCCGTCCCCCCTCCCGGCTCCTCGGCCGCCCCCCTCTCTTCTTGCCAGCCTGGGACACATCCCTGTCCCTGTGCTGGGCATCTCCTCATCAGGATGCCAAATCTTAGGGATTCCCTCCTTTTGTGAGGGCGCATCCCTAAGATTGTCAGTCGCCTTTTGGCGTGCCGATCTTAGGGGTAGGGATAAGTTCGAGGCTGGGGATCTTCTCCGCCCGCTGCAGCGTGCCTAGGGGCCCCGGTGGCTCGCCCGCTGGCTCGGCAGACGCGCTTGCGGCCGCCAGCGCCGCCGGCGAGCACGTCTTTCTGCTTCCCCGAGGAGCTCCTGGAGATCCGCACCGTTCCCTCGCGTCTGCCGCGCAACGGGGCCGCAGAGGGCACGAAGGAGACGCGGGCGCGGCAGGAGGCGGGCGAGGGGATCGTGTACGTGTTCTTCACCAGCGGCTCGACCGGGACACCGAAGGGCGTCCAGGTTGAGCATGCGGGACTCCAGGGGTAACGTCGGGGGGGGGATTCGCATAACAAAAAACATAATGACACTGTGAGCTTCGAGCGGACTTCTTGGACCTGTGTTGGAAACCCCTGTCGGCGCCTCGCCCCAGGCGTGCTGCGGAGATCCAAGAGATCCGCGCGGAGCTTTGAAATATTAGGTTCTCATATGCAGTTGCTCTTCCGCTTGGGATAGGCTCAGGGGGGTGATGCATCGACACCCCAATCGCCCATTGATCCCCGATGGGGGCAAGATAGCCCGCCCCGCCCAGGAACTTGCGGATTCGCAATCGGGGGCCTATCGCGGATGTATTGGCGACGTCTCGCCGATTCCAGGCCGATGTTTTCACTCATTAAGCCAATCCCCTTATCGGTGCCTTTGAGGACTGCGGCACCGCGTGGAGTGGATGCAGGAGCAGTACGGTCTGGGACCAGGGCAGGCGACGATCCTGAAGCACGCCTACACCTTCGGCATCTCGGAGTGGGAGATGTTCTGGCCACTCGCGGTGGGTGGCACGCTTGTGATTCCGAAGCCCGGCGGCGAGAAGGACCCAGAGTACATCTTCGGCCTGTGCGAGAAGTACCCCGTCACCGTGATGTACATGGTCCCCTCCATGCTGAACATGCTGCTGGACTATATTCAGGCGGAGGAAAAGAGCCCAGTGGATGCGGGCTTCTCGCTGCGGCAGATCATCACCTGCGGTGAGCCGCTGACCGAGGAGACGATCCAACAGCATTTCCAGATGATAAACGAGGCGGAGCTGGACAACCTGTATGGGCCCACGGAGGGCTCTATGACGGTTTGGCGTTGCCCTCGTGGACAGAAGATTCCACAGGTGCCTATCGGCACACCCATCGGTGGTATCCGCGTTTACACCCTGGACACCATCGCGCAGAGGCTTAGCGAGGTTAACGTGCCTGGCGAGATTTACTTCGCGGGCAAATTTATCGCGCGCGGATATCTCGGAAGTAGAGAACAGACGGACAGAGTCTTCGTCGACGACTCCGTGATGGCTTCGAAGTTCCCTGGCGAACGCATGTACCGCACCGGCGACCTTGCCTGCTGGAAGCCGAGCGGGCAGTTGCAGTTCCTAGGACGTGCGGACACTCAGATCAAGCTGCGCGGCTTCCGCATCGAGCTCGGGGAAATCGAGGCTGTGATCCGCGGCGGCGCTGGCGTCAAGAACGCAGTGGTGATCCTCGCTGGGGACGGCGCATCGAAAGTCCTGGCGGCCTACGTGGCGCCCGACAGCGTTGACTTGGACGCGCTGCGTGCCTTGTGCTCCCGCCAGCTGGCGCACTACATGGTGCCATCTTCGTTCCAGAAGTTGGCGCGGTTGCAGGGTGACGAGATCTATTCATATCCACTGCTCCCTGGCCAGGCCCATCCTGAACCCCGCAGCTGTGTATATGCCCTTCTGGCCAAGCCAGGAGGGCGTCACGTATACATCGCTGCCCGGTTCAGGATGGGCGTAGCCAGGGACCAGTGTATATGTATAGATCTCGGCGCCTTAGGTTGCCCGTGACGGACAGGGGCAAACTCGACAAGAAGGCGCTCCCGCCCGCGCGTATAGACGCGCAGGCTGCCACAGGCGGCGGCGTTGGAGGAGTCGATTGCGCGCGTCAGGGAGACGAAGAGGATGCGGGGGCACCAGGTGAACGTCAGGAACAAACGATACAGGGGCCCCTTTGGACAATATTTTGTCCCTCTCGATACCTTGTCGAGTCATCTTTCAGCCTCCTGGAGGCATGTTGATGCATTTGAGAGCCACTTGGGGTCTATGAATCGGGACTGGGGGTCATCATCAGGGCTGTTGGGTCCATCGGAAGATTTGGGAGAGGGGCTGGGGTTGTATGGCGGGGTAGGTGGGAGGGGAAATGGGCAGCTAGCTGTCAGGGGCACTGTACGGTGGCGGCGAGGGGTACTCGGAAGACGGAGGCAGAAGGGTTGATAACCCGATGAGGAGGAGGAGCACGGAGGAGGAGGAGGAGGAGGAGGAGGAGGAGGAGGAGGAGGAGGAGGAGGAGCACGGAGGAGGAGGAGGAGGAGCACGGAGGAGGAGCACGGAGGAGGAGGAGGAGGAGGAGCACCGATCTTGTCCGTACCCTCCATCCGCCGACTCAGGTTTGGGAGCTTCCGCATGGCTGCCCCAGGTTCGGACCTGGGTCAGGGCTGGGCCGGGCTAGCGCTGCCACAAGTCAGCCCGTCCCCGAGGGAGAGGAGGAGGAAGAGGAACATGCAGCGGCGGAGTTTCGACCTCAGAACGGAAGTGACGAATTCGTGACTGATCTCATTCAGTCTGCTTGACGAGGGGGAACAGGTGGGGGACGGCGGGGGATTGGTGGAGGGAAGGGCCCAGTAAGTTGGCGTAGAAGGAGGGGAATGGGAATATTTCTTCTCCTCCTCCTCATCGTCACCTGGCTTGCGCAAGCCAATCGCTGCTGCCGCTGAAGCCCTCCGTGCTCAATGCCCTCGTCTCGCTGCTCCAGACCCTCCTGCCCCTCACTTTCCTTGCCGTTCTCCTGCTTGTCGGCCTCATCCTGCTTCGCATCTTCCTTATCCCTTCCACCCCCGCGAGGCCTGAAATGCAGTAGGTGCACAAACAAGATGATGAGCAGGATAAACACATGAAGGGATGGGGGGTAGGAGCAGGTGCTGGATCTAGTTTTTGGTTTTGGTTGTGTATTTGGATGATGACGATGTTGACGATGATGACGATGCCGATACCGATCACGATGCTGCTGCTGATGATGCTGGTGCTGATGCTGATGCTGATGCTGATGATGATGCTGCTGATGATGATGATGCTGATGATGCTGATGATGCTGATGCTGCTGGTGCTGCTGATGCTGATGATACTGATGCTGCTGCGACTGCTGATGCTGCTGATGATGCTGTTGCTGATGATGATGACACTGATGCTGCTGCTGATGATGATGATGCTGATGATGCTGATGATGATTGTGCTGCTGCTGATGCTACTGATGATGATGATGAGGATGAGGATGCACATGCGGGCAACCATGATGATGCGGATGAACCTGATCATGATCATAATGCTGCTGCTGATGATGAGGATGCTGCTGATGATGATGATGCTGGTAAAGTTGATGATGCTGCTGCTGATGATGGTGCTGTTAATGCTGATTATGATGCTGATGCTGGCGATGATGCTGCTGATGGTGCTGCTGATGATGATGCTGATGACGCTGATGGTGATGATGCTGATGATGATGATGATGATGATGGTGCTGATGCTGATGCTGATGCTGCTGATGATGACGATGATGATGCTGATGATGCTGATGTTGCTGATGCTGCTGACGCTGCTGCGACTGCTGATGCTGATGCTGATGATGCTGATGATACTGGTGATTATGCTTATAATTATGCTGATGATGACGATGACGACACTGATGATGCTGGTGCTGATGATGCTGCTGCTGATGATGGGGGTGATGCTGATGAAGTTGATGCTGCTGCTGATTATGACGATGATGATGCTGAGGCTGATTACGCAGATGAGGGCAGACATGCCGATGCGGATGCCAATCATTATGATGCTGCTGTTGCTGATGATGATGATGATGAGGATGAGGATGACGCTGCTGCTGCTGATGATGCTGCTGCTGATGATGACGCTTTTACTGATGCTTATGATGCTGATGACGATGCTGCTTCTGCTGATAATGATGCCACTACTGATGCTGCTGCTGATGATGCTGTTGATGCTGCTGCTGCTGATGATGCTGACGCTGATGTCGATGCTGATGATGATGCTGATGATTTTGATGATGATGAGGCTGATGTTGCTGATGGTGATGATGATTATTGCGAAGGCCTGACGGCCGGTGCCGCCGACCCTGTTCGCAATGCGCAGCAAGAGATTACGAGGTTGCTCAAGGTCGGCTTGGCTGGAGCCCAGGGGAAGAGGAGTCGTCCAGGGGGGGGGCGTCGTATCTGACCCGGGGGGGGGGTCGCTACCCCCCCCCCCCTCCCGGCGGGGGAGGGATCAAAGGGAAGGGGCTTCCCTTCGACTCAATTACGAGGTTGCTCACGGTCGGCTTGGCTGGAGCCCAGTCGTATCTGACCCGGGGGGGGGGTCGCACCCCCCCCCCCTCCCGGCGGGGGAGGGATCAAAGGGAAGGGGCTTCCCTTCGACTCAATTACGAGGTTGCTCAAGGTCGGCTTGGCTGGAGCCCAGGGGAAGAGGTGTCCCTGGGGGGGGCGTCGTATCTGACCCGGGGGGGGGGTTCGCTACCCCCCCCCCCTCCCGGCGGGGGAGGGATCAAAGGGAAGGGGCTTCCCTTCGACTCAATTACGAGGTTGCTCAAGGTCGGCTTGGCTGGAGCCCAGGGGAAGAGGTGTCCCTGGGGGGGGCGTCGTATCTGACCCGGGGGGGGGGTCGACCCCCCCCCCCCCTCACGGGGGAGAGGATCAAAGGGGTAGGGGCTTTCCCTTCGACTCAATTTACGAGGTTTGCTCAAGGCTCGGCTTGGCTGGAGCCCCAGTGGGAACGAGGTAGTCCCAGGGGGGGGCGTTCGTATCTGACTACGGGGGGGGGCAACCGCTTCGTGGACTAATGCGCGAAGGAGGGATCAAAGGGAAGGGGCCTTCCCTTCGACTCAATACGAGGTTGCTCAAGGTCGGCTTGGCTGGAGCCAGGGGTTGCTCAAGGTTAGGCTTGGCTTCGGAGCCCAGGGAAGAGGGAGTCATCGTGAGGCGTCCGTATCTGACGGGGGGGTAACCGGACACCCACCCCCCCCTCCCGGGGGGGAGGGATCAAAGGGAAGGGGGCTTTCCCCCTTCGACACAATGACGAGGTTGCTCAAGGTCGGCTTGGCTGGTGCCCAGGGGAAGAGGAGTCCCAGGGGGGGGCGTCGTATCTGACCCGGGGGGGGGGTCGCTACCCCCCCCCCCCTCCCGGCGGGGGAGGGATCAAAGGGTAGGGGCTTCCCTTCGACTCAATTACGAGGTTGCTCAAGGTCGGCTTGGCTGGAGCCCAGGGGAAGAGGAATCCCAGGGGGGGGCGTCGTATCTGACCCGGGGGGGGGTCGACACCGCATGTGGGCCCAATCCCAACCCACTGGGCCCAATCCCAACCAACTGAGACCAATCCCAACCAGTGCGAAAAGCAAACTGGGCCCAATCCCAACCATCTTGGGATAGGCCCACAATAGGATTTTAATTGTAGAGAAGCCCAAAACGAGTGCGAAGACCAAGTGGCATTCTTTATGTCAGCGCACAGGATCTGGAAGCCAACATGCATGCTCGAGTTGGAATTGGTCTCAGTTTTGGTTTGCACACGAGCACTACGTTAAGATGAGCAAAGAGGGCACCGAAGCGTAAACATCGATTCTAAAATATGCAAATGGATCTTCCTGGTACTAGTAGTAGTAGTCGTAGTAGTCGTAGTAGTCGTAGTAGTAGTAGTAGTAGTAGTAGTAGTAGTAGCTGTAGTAGTAGTAGTAGTAGTAGTAGTAGTAGTAGTAGTAGTAGTAGTAGTAGTAGTAGTAGTAGCTGTAGTGGCAGTAGTAGTAGTAGTAGTAGTAGTAGTAGTAGTAGTAGTAGTAGTAGTAGTAGTAGTAGAAGTGGTAGTAGCAGAAGTACTAGTAGTAATAGTAGTAGTAGTAGTAGTAGTAGTAGTAGTAGTAGTAGTAGTAGTAGTGGTGGTAGCAGTAGGAGTCGCAATCGTAGTCGTAGTAGTCGTAGTAGTCGTAGTAGTCGTAGTAGTTGGTCGTAATAGTAGTAGTAGTAGTAGTAGTAGTAGTAGTAGTATAGTAGTAGTTCAGTTAGGTGTAGTAGTCAGTAAATGTGGTAGGTAGTAGTATGCCGTAGTAGTTGTAGTAGTAGTAGTAGTAGTAGTAGTAGTAGTAGTAGCGGTCGTTCTACAGTAGCAGTAGTGTAGTAGAAATAGTCGTAGTAGTTGTGAAAAATGAAATATTAAGTTAGCCAATCTGTAGTTAGCAGCAGGTCGTAGTAGTAGTAGTAGCTCAGTAGGTGAGTAGTTAGTAGTAGTAGTAGTAGTAGTAGTTATACTAGTGGAAGTTGTGGTGGTAGTAGCAGGAAGACAAATAGTTGTAGTTGTTAGTAGTGTTAGTCGTTAGTAGTAGTAGTAGTAGTAGTAGAAGTAGTAGTAGTAGTAGTAGTAGTAGTAGTAGTAGTAGTAGTCGTAGTAGTAGTAGTAGTAGTAGTCGTAGTAGTAGTAGTAGTAGTATTAGTAGTAGTAGTAGTTGTGGTAGTAGCAGTCGTAGTAGAAGTAGTCGTAGTCGTAGTCGTAGTTGTAATAGTCTGAATCGTAATATAAGTAGTAGTGGTAGCCGTAGTGGCAGTAGTAGTAGTAGCACTAGTAGTAGTAGTCGTAAACGGTGTCGTAGTCATAGTCGTAGTCATAGTAGTAGTGATAGTAGTAGTAGTAGTAGTAGTAGTAGTAGTAGTAGTAGTAGTAGTAGTAGTAGTAGGAGTTGTAGCAGTAGTAGTAGTAGTAGTAGTAGTAGTAGTAGTAGTAGTAGTAGTAGTAGTAGTAGTAGTAGTAGTAGTAGTAGTAGTAGTAGTAGTAGTAGTAGTAGTAGTAGTAGTAGTAGTAGTAGTATAGTAGTAGTAGTAGTAGTAGTAGTAGTAGTAGTAGTAGTAGTAGTAGTAGTAGTAGTAGTAGTAGTAGTAGTAGTAGTAGTGGTAGTGGTAGTGGTAGTGGTAGTAGTAGTAATCGTAGAGGTAGTAGTAGTAGTAGTAGTAGTAGTAGTAGTAGTAGTAGTAGTAGTAGTAGTAGTAGTAGGGCCGTTTCGGGCTCTTCTAGGGTCCCCTGTAGGACGCCACTCCACTGGGCCCACCAGCACCCTTCAAAAGTGGCGACAGTTTCGCAGATCGCCCCCCCCCCCGAATGGATGGCGAGGCCCTGCAACGAGAACCCTAGAGGCCCCCATGTGGCAAGTTCGAAGGACAACCTTCGGTATCGCATAGAATGGAGGCCAACAAAAAAGATTCCCTAGGAATTTCTAAGGATTCCGAAGGATTCCTGATGATTGGTTTGGATTCCGAAGGGTGCCTGGGCTTCCGAAGAATCCGAAGGAATCCTTGGGAATTCCCAAGAATCCGAAGGAATCTGGAGGAATCCCGAAGACTCCGAAAGAATCCTGAAGAAATCCGAAGAATTTCCAGAAAATCAAAAGGAAGGCTGAGGAATTCCGAAGAATCCGAAGGAGTCCGGAGGAATTCCGAAGAAGGAACCCAAAAGGAATTCCGAAGAAGGAATCCAAAAGGAATTGCGAAGGAGGAATCCAAAATGAATTCCGAAGGAGTCCAAAGGAATTCCGAAGGAGGAGTCCAAAGGAATTTCGAAGGAGGAGTCCAAAGGAATTCCGAAGGAGGAGTCCAAAGGAATTCCGAAGGAGGAATCCAAAGGAATTCCGAAGGAGGAGTCCAAAGGAATTCCGAAGGAGGAGTCCAAAGGAATTCCGAAGGAGGAGTCAAAAGGAATTCCGAAGGAGGAATCCTGAGGAATTCCGAAGGAGGAATCCAAAGGAATTCCGAAGGAGGAATCCAAAGGAATTCCGAAGGAGGAATCCAAAGGAATTCCGAAGGAGGAATCCAAAGGAATTCCGAAGGAGGAATCCAAAGGAATTCCGAAGGAGGAATCCACAAGGAATCCCGAAGGAGGAATCCACAAGGAATCCCGAAGGAGGAACCCACAAGGAATCCCGAAGGATGCCGAAGGATTCCGAAGGAATTCCAAAGGAAGCCGGAGGAATTCCGAAAGCACCCTAAGGAATTCCGAAGGAATCGTGAGGAATTCAGCAGGAATCCCAAGGAATTCCGAAGGAGTCCTGAAGAATCCTGAGGAATTCTGAAAATCCCATCCGTGGTTGGAATTGGTCTCATTTTTGGCTGAGTTGGAATTGGTCTCATTTGCGGTTGGAATTGGTCTCTTTTCTGGTTGCAATTCACCCCGAACGGTTCGGATTGGTCCTAGTCGGTTGTAATTCGTACCACTTCGGGTCGACACCCCCCCCCCCCCTCCCGGCGGGGGAGGGATCAAAGGGAAGGGGCTTCCCTTCGACTCAATTACGAGGTTGCTCAAGGTCGGCTTGGCTGGAGCCCAGGGGAAGAGGAGTCCCAGGGGGGGGCGTCGTATCTGACCCGGGGGGGGTCGACACCCCCCCCCCCCCTCCCGGCGGGGGAGGGATCAAAGGGAAGGGGCTTCCCTTCGACTCAATTACGAGGTTGCTCAAGGTCGGCTTGGCTGGAGCCCAGGGGAAGAGGTCTCCCAGGGAAAGGGAAGGACAGAGACGACGAGTACAAAGAATGACGGAGATGACGGCTCGAACGGAAAAGCCCCTCACACACGCCGACAGGGTCGGCGGATTATGATGTTGCTATGCTGACGATGCTGATGCTGATGATGCTGATACTACTGCGACTGCTGCTGATGATGCGGAGGATGATGCTGCTGATGGTGCTGATAATCATGATGATGATAAGTATGATGATGCTTATGATGATCATGCTGATTATCCTGGTGATCATGAGGATGATACTGGTGATGCTGATGCTGATGCTAATGCTGCTGCTGACGATGGTGATGATGCTGAAGATGAGGCCCATGCAGTTGATGCTGCTGATGCTGATGATGACGACGACGAGATGATGATGCTGCTGATGATGATGCTGGCAATGATAATAATGATACTGAGGATGCAGATGAGGGCACGCATGTCGATGCGGATGATACTGATCATGATGATGCTGCTGCTGATGATGATGAGGATGATGC